TGTATCTGGAGCAACTTTCGTCAAGAGGTTTGCAAATTCTCTTGAGGTTGCTGGATCAGTAGGGCGCTCCGCCCCTACTGACCCCGACCATTTTTTGATGGCCCGTCTCGCTGTTGCGGCTTCGCAACAGCGCTGGACCCACGCCCATTGCCCTTTCTGGCGAATGGTCGTCCATTTCGCTCAGTACTGTTTGGTACTGGGCGCGGAGCACTACAATCGTATGCGTAGTGCCCTAACTTCTGACAGCGATTGCACCTCTGCAATCGCTTGTTGCTTGTAGAGCGAGGTCTCTCGCTCTCAACATAACAGAGGTCCATTGGTTCTGGACCTCCGATCTCTTGTCGTCTCGGTGGACGGTAAGAGTTTGAGCTAGCATGAGCCTGTCTCATGCTGAAGTCTTCCTGTTCCGCGGCTGATATCGCTTCTTCAAGCGTATTCAGCTCAAGGCGGAACAGGTGGCTCCTGACGGGCCCTTCTGCGAGCCCTTGCATGAACACCGTAATCAACGTGTGTTCATGAACTGGGTTTGCAGTTATACTACTCGCATGGAGTCGTATATGTTGTGCGTAAGCGTGCACATCACGCTTACCCTGCTTGAGTTTCAGGAGCTCAGAACGAGCCCTGAACTCAGCACGTGGCGGCTCAAACGTTTGTCTGAGCCGGGACTTGAAGTCATCTAGCGACCTAAACACATTTGGGTCGCTACTCTCGAGTCCCAGGGACCAAGTTTTGGCACGCCCTGCCAAGTGGGTCTGAGCAAATGTGAGTTTCATTTGCTCATCTTCGACGCGACGAGCCCTTAGGGCTCTGTCGAGTTCGACAAACCATAGTAACAGGGAGTCCTCCGGGACTCCACTGTACTTGGAAATGTCGACTTTCATCACTTCGGGACGACGCGCATGCGCCGTCCCGCCCAAAGCAGCATGGAATTGCTGCTGTCTCAACAGCTCCGTCTGTTGAGCACCGAGTTCTCTCAACTGCTCGGCCTGTTGAGAGCCTTGCTGGTGAAGCAAGGCTACTTTCTCCCTCTCGAGAGCAAGTTCATTGTGAATGAACTTGGCGATAGCAGCATGTTGTTGGTCTCTGTCTAGAGACTCCAACATGGTGCTGACGACGAGTTCGCCTACGGTAGAACTCATTCGTTCTACCGCACCCCATTCGATGTCACTCAAATGGGTAAACCCTTCACGCGTGGCGTGAAAGGTGTCTTCTTCATCCAACATGTTCATGTTGGATGATGTGGTCCTTGGAAGGACTACAAAGTGCTACCAGGTGTAACGGGGCACACCCTTGCGTAACTTAACGCAAGGGATTTGGGTGCCCCGACGGACGTACACGTGGCGAGCGAGGAAGCGTAGGTAGGGTAAAAGTAGAACTGTTATATTAATAAATTAAGTCTTTAAACTACTGTCTCTTCGTTTGACTTAATTCAATTATACTAATATAACTGCATGTATGGTGACGTCTCGTCACCACTCATTGCGCGCGTCTTGCGGCGATTGGTGGGTTGATATCATCACGATATCAACCAATGAACAGACCCTTTGGTCGACCCTTCAATATCACCACTTTGGTGATATTGTTTAAAGAATATCCATCTTATATTCTTTATTGTCACTTTCCTTAAGTGACAATATCATGTAACGGGCTGCCCCGTTACACTCTAGCTCACGGTTTTCTCGTCGAGTTTCAATATCTATAAAAAGACGGACTATTGTCCCTACCTTGCACAAGCCATGATATGACTAGCCCAGCCAAGCGCCGAATAATATACGTGTGCAGCCGTACTTTTCTTTGTGCAGGATGCAGGTAGAGGCTACGTTTTGCGCGTGAAGGGACGCGAGTGTTAAACATTCGTGTGAAACTAGGGACTGACGAACGACACGCCCGTATCAGAAAAGAACGACGTGGTCGCCAAATTGTCTGTGCAGATGGAAATGTATGAGGTAAATAGCACTTCTTTCGGGTCCCGCAGTTAATCATGATGACTATGCCGAATTCGACAGGCATCGCGATCTTTGACGCATTACAAGGTACTTGCAAACCTACAAAATCCTGCAGTGGAGCCAATTGAAAGGAGTTCGATGAATCAATAGTCAGCATGTCTGAAGCAAGCGAACAGCTAATACGTCACACGCACGAGAACCGTACCGTTCAGGCTACTGCTGCCAATTTCGTCGGCCCGTGCGTTTTTGTGGTCGAAATGAACGAACGAGTTCTTGCCAATGATGCTACATCTGTGTTCTAGTTGGAAGCAAGAGCATGCGTCGTACTCAGGAATCTGACCACGTTCGTAATGAACAAACTTAGGTGCATTATCGATGTCAGGCGGCAAGCAATGACACGGTCTGCTAGTTGTACTGATCGCACTGAATCGATTAAGTTTCTCACATGACGAATACATTGTGCTACATGTTTACCCTTGCTCTTACGTGAAAGATCATTCTCCCATATCAAGCAGTGCATTCTAATAAGTCGTAAGAAAGCTAGCCATTCACTCTGAACCTAGCTTCGTGTTCGACTCGGATCTTCGACCTCGCTGCGATTATGATAGAAACAAAGCGTGGATCACAAACCAATGCGAATAGAATTCACTTGTTAGCCGCCGCTTTCGTATTTGTTCGACCTATTTGTCGAAGATTACGTATCTCCGTTGTTGACTGTAAAGGGTGACTCCCCATGCTTGTTCGCACAAAACATGAGGAAATTTTCACTGGATGATGCGCTTCTTCCGTACCTGCTCCCGTAGATGCATGTCGCTGCCTTTTTTAAATATCACTTTTAACATTTGTGTTCTCTTAGACCACCACTATAGACAGCCTCGCACCACTATTGCTTGCCGGAGCTTTCTTGTTGCAAGCAATGGCAGCCATTGATACCCTATGCACGACTTGAGAGTTATGTTGTTGTGGTCATTGGTACACGCATGAAACGGTAAACAATAAGGTCATCGGAAAAGTGTAAGCTTCTATGTTTGTCTGCTTTCATAACAAAGAGTGACACGATACTGACCACGTAATGCTATGTTCCATAGCCGTAGCAATGCAGGCTGGTCAGATCAGCAATGCGGTGACAAGAGTCTGGTCATGTTCCAGCTAAAAGTTCCTAGCAGATAACACGACTATCGGCAACTTCGTGCAACTGAGCGCGAGTGTCTGAAAAGTATCTGAGTACTGTTGACATCCACAGTGGGCTGGCTTCCCATAAGCATGAGAACGTCCTAGGTATTGCAAGCGTGTGCTCATTGACGATACCGATGCATTTCAAAAACCAGACGCTTCGATACTGTCCAAGTGCGCACCAAGCAAACTTTCGCACTTTAAGCCAATCGCTTTGCTTTGAATGCTCTATACAACATGCAAACGAAGATGTCACATCGTTTACGAGCCACGCTATCATACCCGACACTGTCTTGAATTAGCAGCACGATGGTGCCGTCAAACCGACCGTAAATGAGTTAGTTCTGTCAACGACAAGCAAACTCGTGATTGTGCACCTCTTGCGCCCATCCACTTCTAACGACCTCGATTCAGCCTGTTTTCTTGAAGCAACGCGAGCTACAGCTGGTTGCGACGAGTCGTTAGCACACGCTCAAATTCATGAAGCCAAAGCGAGCTGGCGGAAGTCGGCTAACAAACGTACAAGGTAGCATTGTGAGCTAATGCGCGCTCGTAATGACTACGAAAAGCCCACTCTTGGTGCGGATCGCGCGACAAACCGTACGGTCTCGCGATCGCAAGGCGCACCTTAGCTTGACCAGAATATTGCCGAAGACGGCTGGGGTCCCTAAACGTTGAATATCTGTTGAGCTGATATGTCCAGCACCAATTTGAGAAAGAATAACCTCTTCGTATTCTTGTCCTACATATGTTGTCTCTTAGTCTTTTCCATGTAGTTATTAGCTCATGTTCTGCGTCAAATGTCACTGCTCTTTTGTGATACTTCAGGCATAGATGCTGATCCGCTGCAGTAACGTTACTGCAAGGTGCTCACTATCTGTGTCTTCATCGGCGACACTGATTCACCTGATGGTTTTGTGGACGTAAGCCTGATCGACCGTCCGACTCGCTCTCCTTCTGGTCCATTCCATAGATGTGCCCCGTCCACGGTCATGAGCATTAGTCACCCCAACACTAACATTGCTGTGTGCCAGTATCATCACTGTTCGGGGGCCAGCCTCATCAGGAACCAGCTCGTTGTTTGTCCACTCAAGACTCGAGAGTGGCGGAATGTGTGTTCTTTCAAAACATCATGTGCAGTGCATCTGTCGTCGTAGATCTGACCGATAGGATGTGACGTGTGACTAACGCATGGGAATTCTGCCTCGAAGCTTCACAAGGTGAGTTAAATACGCAGATCTCTGTACGGCTTTTGGTCAATTCGAATGTTAGGAAAGTAGCGGCCACGACTTCGCTTAAGAGCGACAGCAACAAGTAACAAGGACGTCATTATCGACGAGCTCATGCTTTTATGTTCATCCTACGCCAACACGACGATGCCGAGTACAAGCTAGTGATCATGTACTATTCGATAGACGCCGAGTTATACTGAAGGATGTAGGACCACAAAAACACGAATGATCACTTGATGCTCATGTAAAAGAAGCGATGGACGTATACATCGCTGGTACAGCTTTGGCGACGCACAATGGCAAGTCTATGGTAAACCCTTTGTTTCATTAGAAACGGGATGTACAATCATGTTAGGCACCAATGCGCCGTTGTACCTCGATATGGCCGGCAAAACTGACGTTACCGAGTCAGGGATCTTGGATATAGAGTGCAGGTAAAACAGCGATACTTCCAATCTCCAATATCGACTGCCAGCCAGCGACGTCAACTGAGCCAGTCACCGCACGATCGCTTCACCAGAGTATCATCGCAAAGATGAGCAGAACACAAGCGCAATGCTGCAGAAGGTCCACCGACTCGCCGCCTGCACACGAATAAGTTAAAGTGTACAAAATTATCCTCCGCGTGGCTTGCTGCCGCTCGAACCTCCTACACCGTCGGTGGGTTTTGCACCGACGTCGAGACACTGAGTCCCAAAGGAGGCAACGAAAACGTCACGGCCTTTTCCCGCATCTTTCGGCTCACTTTGTTACCCATTTTCTTGACCGCCTGCGCGCGTCCAAACAGCGCGCGGGGCACTGCACCCGCAACTGCCGCAGCCGCCGATGCCGCAGTCGCCCGCTCCTTCTTCGACCGTCCGCCTCCTGCACCGCCTTCCAACTTGGTCGGGTCCCCCACGGCCGCCGTCTGAAGCATCATCTGCAGCGCTTTGTACTGCGTCTCAAAGTACACCTCGAGCTCGTCGGGCGCGAGGCCTAACATCCGATGCTGGGGCTCGCCCCGGTAGTTGCGCTGCCAGGCGTGGATGGCATTGCCCCACGCTTTGCGCTCGCCCCACGTGGGCGCGCTCATGACCAGCACAAGGGGTGCGCCGTAGACGAACACGCGTCCGTCGCGGATGCGCGAGCGCTGCAGCCGCACGGAAAAGCTGTAGGGACAGCCGCGGCCGTCCGCGTCCGGGACCCCGCGGACCTTCAGCCGCGAGCGCGAGAGCACGACCTCGCGGACCATAACCCCGCGATCTCGTTTGGTGTAGAACTGCAGCTTCCCTTCGCCCAGGACGCCGTAGTAGATGTGGCTCCGACGCCCTTCGTCGTGGACGACGAGGAACCCTTCCTTCGACATGGCTCTGGACCGATTCCTCGCTCTGATTAATAATTATACTGAGACACGAGAGCCACTCTCCGAGCCGCGGGCGGGGCGGCGAGGGGCGCCTTTTGTCCAATCAGCGAGCTTGGCATGGGGCCAGGGGACGCGGATGGTTGTTGGCCAATCAGCGCTCACTTGGACTTTCCGACCCAAAATGACGCGCCGAAGCAGCCCGCGGAATGCGCGCGCGCTGCTGCTGCTGCTCCTGAGCGCTGCGAGCGTAGCGCACGCGCTGTACTTTGTCGTGAAAGAGAAAGAGGTGCGTCTGGTCGTTTGTGTGGGTCTTTTCTCGCTCGCTCGCATGTGAATTTGACCGCAGGCGCTGTCAATGTGAAGGTGAATCGCTGCTTTATCGTCGACGTGCCGGCCCAGACGCCCATTCGAGTTGAGTACGAGTCTCCGGATACAACGGATGTCATGGTGTGTGCAAAAGTGGAGGGGTCGATTGGGACGTCAATCGAGAGGGATTGACGTGTGCTTTGACGGTGCAGAAAGCGATGCTCACCATTCACTCTGCGGGTTTCGAGGACCCTATCTTGGAAGAGCCGACTAGTCGCAAGGTATACTGTCTTGGAAACAGCGGGATTGATAACGTAGGTCAGTGTAGTGTGTCTGACGTCAGTGTTTGTGTGTGTTGTTGTGATCGCGGTGGCTACCACTCTGTGTCATGTAGGGCACAAAGTCGTTCACTACTCAGCAGAACGGTCTTTCTTGGGTCTGTGTCGCTCTGGATTCGTCCAAGTATGAGCTGCCGGATGATGTTTCGATGGTAGAGATAATGACACACTATGCTGAAGTAGGGGCTGCGTGGGTGATCTGATGGAGTGTGGATGTGTTTGTGTTTGTAGCGGTTCACGTTGAAGCTGGTGATAGGCACAAGCCAGGAGGAATATCAGAACCTCGCCAAGAAGAACCAAATGGATGATCTTCACTTGAAGATCCTGCAGCTGCGCGACCGTGTGACTGCTATCCAGCGGAACCAGGACTATGCCAAGGTAGGTTGCCGATTTCTGCGGTCAAATTAGCCTGAACGCGCTCGCGAATCTTACGCGTCCCTGTATGCTATACTGTCTTGCCGGTTTGACAGGAAAAAAGCTTGGCGATGCAATCCTCCATCGAAAGCAACAATCAGCGTTCTATGTGGGTCTCGCTGGTGCAGGTGAGCTAAGTTTTGGTCGAGCCTGCATGTCATCGCCATCTTCTAACCGGTGTTGGTGCATGCAGATTGCGACCTTGCTTATCACTGGCTTTTATCAGGCAAAGCATCTCAAAGCATACCTTTACAAGAAGAAGCTCGTGTAGTACGAGCAAAGACCGACGTTCAGGCGCGCAGGCAAACGACGGAAGTGACTGTGGCTTCGTTACGGCAGCATGGCATGTCTTGACGGGATGAGTTCTTTGGCATTTGCCATGATGAGAGCTGGGCAGCGCGGTACTAGACATTGCAGACTGCTCCTGGTATACGATTTGTTAAAGTCAATACATAGTGGCAAAGGGACCGGCAGTGACTGACTCCATCGAAGCGCAAGCACACGCGACGTCACCTCGCCGAACACGACAGCCTTGTCGTGGGTCTGACAATCGTATAACGTCCTTGCAAGTCAAAGGCCCTAAATTTGGTCAGTAGTCTTGCCGACTAGGACATCTATTGCGTTGTGACTACAGCACGTATGTCCCTCATCACCTGCTCTGCAGCTCGTAGTAGTCACTTGTCAGCTCAATGGGCACAGCTTCTCAGACTACTGCGCAACACTCTCTTGAATGCTGCCAAAGCATCAGCGCGTACTGCGTCGTTGGAACATCGCGATACTATTCGAGTCACAGCACTTTCACCGTCGCTGAGTGCCATCTGATTCGTCGCTTGTCGACTTCAGACTGAGGAGGGACTGTCCGCCGACTGCTGTCCCGCATCTCGCTGCCTCTCTTGCTGCAGTGCCAACTTCATGGCGTTGTGGATCATGCGACAGTCCGTTGTATACGGGATCGAGTAGTCCACGAACGAACCTGACCACATCAGCACACGTCAATTCCACACCAGAGTAAAGTGATACAGTAAGTCTATACGGTATTTCTTGTGTCGTGCAACGAACCGAGAACGCCCAAGACCGCAAACGGCGCGTAAGATTTCCGCTGGATGCTGATGGGAATGCCAATCAAGACGCCACCAATACAGCCCTGTATTTTAGGGAACAAGATAGCAGTTAGAGGTCCGTATCGTGGATAACACTATCGAAACATGAACAAGAGCTGCACAACACGAGCAAGCAGACACACCAAGATCTGGCGATTGATCAAGCAGGATGTAAGCATCTGCTGCAGCTGGAAGGAGTCTTCATTGCCCCTGGGCTGCAAATCCTCTTCGTCCGCGCGTTTAAAGAACATGACGCGCTCCAATTCCTTTCAATTTAAGCGTCAAGTGACGGACTGCTTTGGCAATTGGTCCGACGGTTGAATTGATGGTCTTGTGAACAAACAAATACTGTGAAATTATTGTTTTTTTCTATTTTTCTACTAAACTCTAAACGCTTCGGGCATACGCCGATCGATTGTCATTGGGGACATTATAAACGGAAAACGTAGTCATGAAAATGATACCACAAGGTGGAGAAAGCAAATACTAAAAATGAAAAGATAGACACCTGGTGTCGATGACACGGACGAACGATGCAGGAGAACACACATGCATAGGATCACATACAATACCAAGTTGTATTGTTATAATTTATTTATACGTCGTAGCAGTCTCAGAAGGATAAGGCATAAGCGGCGGTCTGGTGAGGACAAACCGATTCTCGCATCTGATCAAGGCCTAATTGCTCACGATGAAGATTGTGGACTCGCAAAACTTTGCTATGAAAGGTACATATACCTTTTATGACGCGTGCGGCAGTATTTGTGTCAGCGCAGAGAGACCAACAACGTCAAAAATTGTCTCATGATCCATAGCCGATATATCGTGGTACATGTCCCATTTGGGCCGAAAAAACCGAGATACTTGAGCTTGTGTGTGACATTTCATCCACTCCAGACAGTGGTGCAGTGACATCTACAGCTTCCAGTGGGCAATATCTAGATCGAGACCAGCAACACCATCAGTTTGACGACCACAACCATTCGCAAGCACCATGCACCTTATGAGCTTGCGATCCACTTTGCACGTACGCGAGCAATTGCAGTCTATTCCAAGCAGAAACTTGTTCCTCCTTGATGCGCAGATGATTAACCTGTCTACACTTTCCGTAAGTGATTACGGTAGTACGAGGCAGTAGACGCGCGTAGTTAAGGCGAATCTGCTTTTGTAGCCTGCCTTGTAGGCCAGGATAGAAAAGCGTAGACTTTACCACCAACGTGAGACGCACCACCAAGTGAAGCTCGATTTTGTAGTGGCAAATGACCGTACAAAAGAGTCAGAAAATCAGTCGACACAATGTTACGGGAAACATACCCATGTGTGTCCGTCCTACCCACTTAGACTTTGCAGTCCGAAACTTGCGTTCCTCGTCAAGTTGTTTGCTGTCAACGATCCGATGCTGTTGGTCAGACCGAATGCATATCCTACCCTACCAATAAAATTCGAGGGATCGTCGTCCAACGTGATGCTCTTCCTCGTCAATGTCTTCACAAGCATTAACGTTCGCTGCAATAGCACTACCAACTTCTAATAATCTCTCCATAAGTATGTTGTCGTTTCTTTCGGAACTTATTAATCAGTCAAGTTATAATATCCCCGAGTCATGATCAAAGCATCTTGTGCAGCGTTGAAAAGCGACACTTTATAAGAATGCAACGTGTCTTTACATCAAAAGTATCAACAACACAACAGGCGGCAGCTACACAAGGATGCCCTATCGGATCACTTGGAGCTGAGTAGAAGTGATAGAACTAATGTGACCATTAGACGACGGAATTACGACCTTATACGGCGACGCTTATAATCTCAACGCACTCTTTCTTTTGTCTTACGAATGTCGAAGGATGAACTCCCGACAATAATCGGATCAATTTAACCATAAAACTGAATATGAATTGAATCGCCGAGACCTACGAATGATCCTCGATCATCTTGTTTCGCATGATGTTCGCGCGTGCAACATTTGTTCTTTGGGTAATGATTTTTAAGTAAAATAGACCGCACTATTAAATGACGAAAACAAAAATAGTATCACAAATGGGTAAATAGAGCGAAACGCACCTGGTTGTAAAAAGTATTCCCTTACTTATGTGAACTTAACGACCAAATCATCACTGATATAATACACGTCCACCATATCCTTGTCATGTCCTCTCATAATTCAGTTATTCGAACCCCTATTACCTTTTTCCGTCAACAGGTATATGGCAATTAAAATACGAGGGTTGATGCTTCGAGCGTGATCTGCTGGTATTGCTAATCGTTCGATAATGGATGCACGTTGTTTTCTACTCCTCAATCTACTAGATCTCATGGTCTAACATTGTAAAAAAAGATGGCTGCTGTCTTGGCGGTATCGTTATCAGTGAACGAGATGAGACAACGCCTTGTTTGATTGGCGCGTGGACAATGCAGTGCAATATCGTTATGGTACGACTATTGGCAGCATGAGATCAGGGATTGGCAACCACGTCAAGAGGGAACAAAGAAGTGGAGAGGTGACGGAATGACCTTAGTGCTATTTTATTGCTAGCCATGTAGACGCTTGAGGACACACGAGACGGATTTCAGCCTAACAAATACACAAAGATGAGGGAATATTATGGACGACGTAAAAATAGGGCTGCTAATGATGAGGTGGTTTTTGTGTTATATTGGATGTAGTGGTGCTCATGCAGTAAATATAGATGCAATATTGCTATCTACAGTGGATGGCATAATACACACACGTGGCAGCTGGACCTTCTCGGTCCATATCGAACGCGTAGCAATATATCACAGCACTTCAGTAAGCCACATTACAAACATGGTCACTCCAGCTGCGAGGACCAGACATTCCAATGCTCGCATCGTAACGTTCATGTCTTCTTTGGTTAAGGTAACAGTATGGTTGCAGCGTACATGATAGTACGAGACTCTCAATATCAAAAAAAAGTTTGTCAACTATCCCTGGTTCGCCGGGATCCTATTTCTCTGCCATAATGAGCGACGCGCTCACATATTATATGAAATATCTATATTGCACGTCCCTCAAACTATTAAATTACGTGACACATTCGAACACATGCGTCACGAAGGATGTCCATTTATACGCTAGTACAGGAGGCATCTTGATAAGATTCATTAATTACGTCGTATTATTTAGGTTGTATCAGTCCACTGAGCGATCGCTCTGTAGCAAAAAATGAGCTAGTGTATGCCTTTTAATGCGAAACATCGCTTACCTACGCTATGAACAATCTATTACAGAAAGTGTATGCTACCGCTCGAGAATGAAAATAATCTCAAATGGCTCGGACAGTATGTTGATTTTACCTAGCATGAGGAAGTTGGATGTCGATGCAACTTTTTCTGTGATCTGCGATGCCAACATAAATGTAACAAGAGGCGCTATTTGTGCTACATGTGGCCAATCATACGTATATGAGCCAGCTGTTGAAACTGCGATTTTACAGGTGAAATGTCATCAAAAACTAAAATATATTTACATCTTTAGAAACGCGTTTTTTACTGCTGTACGAAGCTGGTCTGACGCATAAAAAGCCTAATTTCAAATTGGATAGGGATATTGAAAGAAACATATGTTATGCGTGGAAGTATTTAACCAAGCAATTACCCTCGTTTCTTTTTTTCAGTAATTTGCTTACTTCGAGCCAGCTGGTATTTACATATGTCTTAACGGGATACTACTACAGTCACCCCTCTCTATAAGAGACATCTCCCACTATAAGGGTCACAGTGTCGCCGAACATTTTAACTATATGAAATTTGTATACCGTTCTCTTTATTAGCGAGTAAGATATAAGACACGAAATACACTCGCCCATTTGAGGTGACCCCCCCTCTATATGACTCACTACCCCTACTTCTGATGCTGAAAGAGGTACGTGGCATATGATATGACAGCTGTTCTAGCCAAGGTTTTCCTTAAACCTATTTAGCAACGTCATAGAACCACAGACGTGACCTAGGGAAAGACATAGAGCATGTCATAATAGACGAGCTTATAGGGCCTATATTGCTGATGATGTCATGACGATACAAACAGAAGACGAAATTTAATAATTTCGTAAGGCAATAGATAGGAAAAAATAAAATTAATTTTCGTAAATACTTGACTACACCACTAATACAACACGTGTACCCAAGAACATCAATCCCGTGCAGCCAATGAGTTCAGCAAAGGGAGTATCTTTTTCTCTAGAGCAGAAGTACGAGGTCTTTAAACACTGCAAAGAACGTCCAACTTCCAGATTTTACGAAGTGCAGCCTTACGTGAGCATTCAGTTCAAGCACAGCACTAGTAAAACAACAGCGCTCCGGCAAAGTGAGGAGTGAACGAGTGGAGATGATGTGCGTTTTGATGCGACGCGTTATAAATCGATTGGAAACGTGCTAAGACGTTCCAAGAGAACTTCAAAAAAGTCAGTTCGGAAAGCGGAGGTGGACATAGACATGGATACTTCAATTGTGGTAGCACCATCGCGCGATCTTGTAAACGTATTCGCTGATGCGTCTTAGATGGACCATTCAACAGATTCTGGTGATTTGGTGAATGCTATTGTTGCTGCCGTCTTGCTATTTCTCATTAGGAATTCTTGCGCATCGATCCGATCCGAAGAAATATCGCAAGGCTAAACGCAGTCCTGACAAGAGCTTATGAGAGTGCGCTCAAAATGAAGAGCTAGCGTCGTTGCGTGCGAATCATACGTGGGAAACGGTAAAAATGGATCCTGGAGTGCCACGTGTGCATACCGAGTGGGTATACAAGAAAAAACGCACAAGAAACAGAAACATCAAACGCTACAAAGCAGGACTCGTTGCGTGTGTAAATGAGCAGGTAGTTAATGTAATTTTTCGAATTAATGTTTTCGCAGTGCTTGACATGGCAAGCGTTCAAGGCTTTCTTGGTCATTTCGTGGACTTGGCGTGTGCCGGCCAGGCATTTCGACGTACCAAGTGCCTACGTGCAGGTTGCTAAAGAAGGTGGACTGGACATGCACCTTTATGTCCCTGATAGTATGGATTTTTCGATGGAGGAGATATCTGGCTACGGTGTGACTACATCAGAAAATCTTATACTTCGTTTGGAGAGAAGCGTGTATGGTCTTTAACAGACTGGAAGGGTGTGACACCAGCTCCTGCATGATACTCTGACAATTTTTGGATTTACTCACAGCATTACGGACACATGTTTGTATTTCAAAACGGATGCTCATGAAACAGCACTTGTCGGAGCTTATATGGATGA